CCCCCACCACCACCACTATCCTACCACCACCGTCGCAGTCACCCTACCACCATTTCTTTCACAACAACTACCGCTGTCCCCTACTACCTCCATCATTACTATTACTACTGCTGCCACCTGACCAGCATCATCCCCACTACCTCCATCATCGCCACAACTGTCATTTCCACGCCACCACCGCCACTATCCAATTATCATCCCTACCATCACTACCTCTATCGCCTCACCACTACCATCACCACTGACATCGCCACTGCCGCCACCCCACCATTGCCACTACCACCCAACACCACTATCATCACTCACTCCTATTATAATCAGTGCTTAAATTTCCTTCTTTCTTCTTTATATTTGTGATTTAATTTTAGATGTGAATATAAATATATTTATTGTTGATCATTTTTTTTATTACTCTGTGTCTTCAGGCACAAACACTAACTAGTATATATATATATATATATATATATATATATATATATATATATATATATGGATAATTTATACCTGAGAACTATATACATATTAGAGGTAACTTGTGTCTGACGGCACCGTACAGTGTAAGTGAAAAATGATGAATTTTAATAGATAAGAAATTCAATGCGAATGATTTTAAGTGAGATAGTGAAAACTGTTAAATAAATTTACTTAAAACTGTCAAATAAATTCATTGAAATATGTGGGATGAGAGTGGGGGAAGGCAAAAGCAATGAGATTCTTTTTCTAACTAAACAAGGTATTATTTATACTAAGAGGTATTTATGATCGATCATAAAATTATGTTAAATAAATATAATTTTAGTTTAATTTTAAAAATTATAATTTAATTTTAAAAAACAATATTTTTTGATACGATAATGTAAAATTAGTCACCAATAGTGGTCTCTTTCTAGAGGCGTACCACCTTTTTTTTTCATAAAAGTTTTTGTCGTGGTCTACCTACTTCCAATCATGGAACATGGCTCTGCCTCCCAATTTTTCTTGACGTTTGACATTGCTAATATAACAAAAGACATATCATAAATTAATAAATAAAAAGTTGTACATGTATGAGTGTATACATATACATACATGTATACACCCTGATGCATAGTGATCAATTTAGCCGAGAAACATAGAAGGTTATGAGATCAGTTAATACTTGACTCTAAGCCACGCCTAAGATTGGACAACTCCTTCAAAAAAAAATCAGGCGAAAACACTTCAAATAAATGCAAATTTCTATGAACAGTAATGAAATGTGATTCTGGATAAATCAATGAAATCACAATTCTCTTTCCACCTGCATGAGTCAGGTTGGTTCGAGTCTCACTCCGGTCACCCAAGAAGCATCAAACATTTTCGATGAGATCCATGGAGCAATTTTTAGATAGCAAGCACTAGCTTCCGGTGCGACTTCATAAAAAGCAATCAAAGATAAGATTGAAAAGAATGAAACATTTGTAGTGGTCATTATAGCATACTAAGAAAACAATGGCATCGGGATAGTTAAACTAAGAAATGTACAAAGAACCAACAAATTAACCATACTGGGCACAGGTGCTCTTGTTCAAGGCAGATGAGCAAATCATTCAATTCAGCCTCACTCTCCTTTTGGGTTTCTTCCTTCATAGCCTCAACATCAGCAATAGATGTGGCTTCTCCACCCTTTAAAGCTTTAACTTCCTTTTCTTCATGGAAGTTTGCCTGTTCAAGACTGGTGTATGCATCAGACAAGCTCTTCAGATCAGCTAGACTTGCATACCTACTCAGAACATCCTTTTTTTTAGGTAACAAAACAAAATATAAGGTAAAAGATGTGAGAAGAGAAAAAGGGAGGGAAAAGCACTAGCTCACACAATCTTCAATTATTGTCCAAATGCGTATATATTGTAGTCCATGACCTACGCATAAGTTTCTGCAACCATCCAATAAAGTGCATTTTCTAGTCAAATTGAGTTCCGTAACTGAGAAACAGGAGAATGAGCCAAAAAACATAATCCTGGTTCCTGGTTCTGGTCATTTATGTATAAAAATTAGATGTATACACCATATTACCTGTATCTCAGAACACTGCATCTCCACAAATGATTTTAGCCAGTTGATATACTCCCCGTCACTTTCCCCACTCTCCTGTTCCAGTTTTGCATGCACAACTGCAACCTTGCTCTTTGGATGACTATAAATTTCTATTATACTTTTTCTTACATCCACCTCCAAACTCTTCACAATACTGACAAACTAAGAATCAAACACCGATGCAAGCATTGGATGATCCTCATGCTTCTGATTGGTCCCCTCATTCTCATCAATATCTTCAACCTCTGCCATACCAGCTGCAGCACATCTTGTCAATGCTTTACAGTATGGGTGGAGTTTCGCAGATGAAAAAAGAAAGCTTTTCTGCATGTCATCAAACTTTAAAGAGTATGATGTAAGTCCAATTTTTTGGCTTAATATTTCAACTATGCTAAATGCATTCTTTCCCTTGTACTCAAATAAGAATGGAAATTCTTCTGTAAATCCCCATTCAAATCATCACCCTCTACTTCTTTTTTCTATTTCCTCTATAGGTGTGAAATAAAGAATATTATCGAGGGTTCCTCCCTATATGAGAGTGTGCAAACATGCCTTCTTGGTTCAGAAAGAAGGCATACATATAATCAAAGTTATCCCAGCTTGAACCATCCAGAAATCCATAGATGGATTTTGAAGAGAAACATAATCGAATAATGCCAAAACAATACACCCTCCCAAAAGTACCGCTGCCAGTCCCCTTACATACTCTGCTGTGGCTGGATTTGATACAACCTGTAGCAAATAAGTCAATTGAAGACATGAATCCAAAAAGTATTGCACTGCACTTGGGCAATCGCAAAGCTAAATGACTAGCAGTTGCAGGATCATTGGGTCAACATAGAAAGTCCCAATGTACTTGATTTTCAGTCTTTACTTTTCATGGAAGAGGCAAGAACCAGCCAAGTACTACACCATACATTCATTATCGGCTCTGGAGCTCCTAATGCGAGCACAGGTGATTCAACTTGAATTTGTAGTGATGCAATTTTTATGTTATACCAAGACAAAAGATGCATAAAATTCTAAAGCCTCAAATCCAACTAAGCCAAAATGCAGAACATTATTTTCTAGAGCAACTGTTCTCAAAACATATCTGATCCTACAAAAGCAGAAGCAGTAATTCATAAACGAGGAAATGATAGTGCATACCTTTTTGAGTATAAAATGAAAATTGCACTGGGCATATTTTCTGTTCAACTAGAGAAATTACAATGAAAACAAAACATCTACCATAAGATTTAACCTTCTCCACAAGTCTGAAGCTGATTTTTCGCTACCAACAACCCCCTGCATGACAATTTTTAGAACTAATACATTTTCACATACGATTCCAACCTAAACAAAGCACAAGATTGAAGGGTTGAGCTAAGTATCAAAATTGAAGGGTTATCCCATCCTGAATTGCATCCAATCTTAAATCTTAAGAGAGTATAGTTCAAGCTATTATTACTGCTACAAATGATAAACTAATAGAGAAAAATACCTCATATTTGGACACTAAATCCATTTTGCTAGGTATCACAGCACTTGAATTTGATCAAACAGAGAAGTAGAAACTTCTGTAATGCACTACAAAGAAGAAAACCCTCAAATAATCAATAACAAAAACTTAAACAATAGCTTTTAATATACCTGGAATAGACGATAATGAAAGGTCAAGTAGCCCTAATTAATTGAAATTGCTTTAGGCGTGGAAACGTACCAGAGAGAGAGGGTCGGGTAAAGGGTCGGACTGTTCTGAGAATGGATTTGCTTCGTAACGCCTATGGGCCTAAGGCCTAGTTTTTATTTGGACTTCGGGTAAACCCGTTCAAAACCACACATAGGTTAGTTTGTTTTTGGTGGAGTCGAGTATATTTATCAAACAGTTTTTTAAGATGTTTCATATTAAATTAATTATTTTTAATCTTAGTAACATGAATAGAATTGATTTGTGTTGCCTTGCATAGCACGGGTTTACTGTAGTAATTGTTCTAATTAATCATATGCGCTATCATTGACCTTTGACATGTTTAAAAAACACACTCAGCCTTCAACTTTGGTCGAGCTTACAAACCATCAATATTGATCATTTGAGTTATCGTGTTTTTTTTCAGTTTAATGGTCAATGGTGTCTGAACCAACTTATGTATACTTCGATCAATTACTTTTTTCATTCGGTTAAAAACAGATCATCCATGTCAAAATTAACATTTTTTTATAACATGTGCATGTGACACTTATCTACTGAATGAACTATTCGGGGACAATGTCAAATTAAATAAAAATTATAATTTTTACACTGTTAGGGAATTTGGTACCATAAAGGGTAGTTGAAGGGTTGATCTGCATAATTACAACCCTTCAAATGATCTTTTGGAAGTTGATACACTGAATTAGACATAATTGTAAAAAATCACACAGAATTTTTTTCTTTTGAAAAAAAATACCACTATTTAGATACAAAAACGTAAATGTCATTTTATAAAATTTTATTTCCTAAAAATTGTAATAAGGCATTTATCTTAGATGTTGAAATTTACGGTCATTTAATTCAAAATTTCTTCATCCTAAAATTTACTTTTCTAAAATGATTTTAGGAATATATCTTAATTAATTAATTAGATACGCTAAAATTTATTTGCAAAACACTTCATCTTCAGCAAACGTTTGGATTTCTGCTTCTTTTCCAAAAATCACTTCATCTTCCTTAGCGATAAGCCCTAAAATTATTCCATGAATATCTATAAGATTTCGTCTTTGAAGGAAAATCCTATTATTCAGCCCATTTGATATAAAGATCATCAATTTCATATATTTTTTGAAAATTTGTACGTCATTTGAAAATACGTACGAATTTCGGCATTCGAAGACCAAAACTAGTTGTTGAAAGTTGATCGTTGGCCTGTGTGAAATACGATGTTTTCTGTCATATTAATTCATTGTGTGTGAATAAACTGTGTATATCTCTTAATTGCTAATTGTGTTTTTCTCGTTATGTAACAAAAACAGTATAACAATATATTGTGACAAAGACAATGTAACAATACACTGTAACAAAAATAATGTTCAGTGATTTTGTGCATGTGATAACAAATTCAAAACAAAGATGAAATATTTGAATGAAATTACATGAAAATATATGTTAGACAAAATATAATAGTTCAATATATTGTGTAAATGTTTTCTTACACTGTTATGGTGTTCGCATATTAACAAAATTTGAAATTCAAACAAAATGATATATCTTAAAATAAACGGAATATGAAAGTTCTCCCATAAAAATAGGAAATATTTAATACATAAATATAGTTTGAAAATAAAATCATTTTTCAAAAAAAATACGCATGAATCAATGAAGGATATAAATGTACGAAATATTAAAGTTTTTCTATAAAACTAAGAGATGTTTAATGCATAAATATAATTTGAAAACAAAACCAATTTGTAGAAAAAATACGCATGGATCAAGGACGGACAAAAATGTCACAAGAAAATCTGAAAATTTTAAATAATGTACTTTGACACAAATAAGTATCAAAATTAAGGATTTCTTTACTTTTACATTTTTTTTATGTGTATTTTTTTTACAATTAACTCCAATTTGATGTACCTACTAATTTCCCAAAAAAAAAAAAAAAAAGCATGGGCTGAAATTGAAGCCCAGTTAGTCCATTACATGGGCTATCCCTGGGCTGGGTTGCACAGAACCAAATGGAACTCTTTCTGAATAGATGGCTCAATAACCCTATTAAATACATCAATCTAATAGTTATGAATGTTTAGGGATCAAGCAAAATTGATGATACCAGGAAAATAAAAAAAAAATNTCTAATAGTTATGAATGTTTAGGGATCAAGCAAAATTGATGATACCAGGAAAATAAAAAAAAATAAAANTAGATGGCTCAATAACCCTATTAAATACATCAATCTAATAGTTATGAATGTTTAGGGATCAAGCAAAATTGATGATACCAGGAAAATAAAAAAAAAATAAAAAAGTGCAGCTAGAATAAGGGACAAATCAGGTGAACTGTCTTGGTTATGATGCCGATTGAGCCGACCTGGAGGACTAGTCCAGGTCAGGAATAGGTCTCCAGAGTTACGGTACCAACTAAGACTGGCATTCAATATGGAAACCACCTGAAAGAGAAAAAAGAGAATTTCATCAGCAAACTTTACCTTGTTCAAGAGGTCACCACTTCGAAAAGTTCACGTTATACCGTTTACAGATGTTTTTTAATGGCCAAATATTCACCGACAATTCTATTATATGAAGCAATGATTACTACGTAGAAATGGTTAAACCAATATAATGTCCTTAATATTCTTTTTCTCAAGTAATACATATAACAGAAACAAGGGTCTGTGTTAANTTCACGTTATACCGTTTACAGATGTTTTTTAATGGCCAAATATTCACCGACAATTCTCAAGTAATACATATAACAGAAACAAGGGTCTCTATTAGACTACTTCTTCGACAAGACGAATCACTCTAATCTATGCATTTTCTTTCTATTAAATTTAGAACTCAACGCACCTAATTAAGAAGTCATCCATTTTCACCATTTCTCGGTTTTTACACCATCAAAAAACAAACATGACAATCAACACGTACGTTAGGTATTTCTGATGAAAAAGTTCCGGAGTTGAGCTGGGTTGCTCCTTTCTTTTATAGCAGCAAGTACAAATGTTTCAATAATGTAGCATCCACATAGAAACATGGATTGGACAACCCATATACAAATAAGTGTATCTCATTCAATAATTAATGTTGATACTTTCCTCTTCCTTCCACTCACGTGAGATGGTTTCAACTATTCCAGCTATGTTGATCATCAAACATTGCAAGTACAAAGTGTTTGATGTTGCCTAGATCATTTTTTTAAAATAGTCAAGAGTGTCTGGACTAATTTATGCGCACGTCGATTAATTCTTTACTCGATTCGATTAAAGACAAGCCATCAACGGCTGAATCATGTTTTCCAGCAAGTTAAAACATTTGATTCTTCAACCACTTGTGTGGTTTACTGGTTTTAGCATACATGCCATATCGAACTAGAGCATCGTAGATCCTAATACAAGCTTCAAAACTGTAAGGTCTTCTTCCAATGGAGGAAAAGAACAACTGCAATTGCTTTCATGCTATTTCAAAAATGGAAACAACTTCTTTACATGAGGAGGTATGTAAAGCATCTTTTTCCCCGGAAAGTGGTAGCATAAACTCCCATAGTTGACGAACCAAAATGCAAGAAATCCTTCTCTGGCATGAAATATTATCTTTTGAAAAACGAATAAGAGGGACCACAATTAATGATCAAGATATTCTGCAATTTGTAGATAATAGTCCTTATCTCAGAAAAATATTGATACCCCCAACAGATTTTGAGCTTTATTAATTGTCCTCGTGAAAAAACAGAGCCTAAAATATATTTTTAATCTCTAAAGTATTTATTTAGTATTTAATATTTCAATTGTATTTAATTAGCCCCTAAAGTTTCTAATTTGTATTTAAGTGGTTCAATCATAAACATCCATCAAACAATTGTGACGGTTCTGGTCGGCGCTCCAAATTTTGTGTTTATTTGGTTTCTAAAGTTTCTAATTTATATATATTTAGTCTCGCGTGATTTGTGCATGACTAGAAACATTAATAATTTTTTGATGAACGTTTATAATTGAATCACATAGATATAAATTAAGAATTTTAGAGATCAAATACACACAATTAAAAGATTGAGGATCAAATAAACAATACACGCAGCTTTAGGAATTAAAAATATATTTTACCCAAAAACAAAAAATCTTCATGTGCCCCAACAGAAATGGAACCTATGATTGAAACTAGAGCAACACACACACACACACACAGGATTCTTCTTGTGTTATAGGCAAATTTTTGTGAACTCCAAATCTACCTAAAACAAGAAAGAAATATATGCATGTTCTTGCATCAATCACCGGCAATTCGGAGGTTCCAGCCTAAGTAATTGAATGGTTCTTCTGATTAACCTAAGCAATCAAACTATAAGCCACGGAAGTAATTTTCATTGTTCTATAGCTTAATATATGAATATCTAAGCATTTGTAAAACTTTTATCTATAACGTGTTGTACGATCACCATCCGTTGAAAAGAACTCCTGCAAAACATCATCGACACCATGATCAATCTTCTTCTACTTTTCTCTCTCTTAGGCCAGGTCGTGGAGCAACTGTGACCCCATCAAGTTCCTGTAAGGCAAATTCTGTCCTTCACCGTCCAAAATTGAGTACTGAAGTGGTTGGCAATCTTCAATATGGTCTCTAGGGTAAAAGAGAGAACTCTGAGATGTGGGAGAGAATGCTAAGCTCACCCCACTTCCACCATGCTGCTGTAGACCCAGTGTTAGAGATACTCCGCCGCCACCACCGCCAAAATGGTGATGGGCGTTTTCATGATTGTATGATGAGAAGTCCAATTCCACAGCACCAAATGAGTCCGTGGCGCGGCCAAAACTCTGCTGCTGTTGGTGGTGGTGCAAGTTGTGGGGTTCCTCATTTTGATGGCTTTTGCTGTCATTTCTCTCTGGGTTATTGATGATGGAAGAGAGACACTCTGAATCTATTCGAACTAGTTGGCCTTGGATTGGTTTCTGATCTTCCACAAGTGTTTGAGAGTTCTGATTCCGCCGGCCACCATTGTCATCAACGGCTGTAATTCCGTCCGACGAGTCCATGTTGTCTTGCTCCTTTGTTTCTTCTAAGTACATCTCTTCCACCATAGGTTTCCATAGCCTCACTCTTGCGTTGATGAACCAATTGGACACCTGGACAACCATGCCGTAAAAAATAAGGCATTAATCATGGTGCACTAAAATAATTATATGTTTTTATAATATACACCATTGACGTATGTTAACATGTCCACGGTGAATTAAAATAATTATAGAGAGATGTCCACATACCTGGCTTCTAGAGAGACCAGTTTGTCGGGCTAATATGTGTTTATCTACATCGCTTGGGTACCTGCAATATTCATGAAACACAGTGCTCGGAGGTTACTGCTCAAACCCTGGATGGCAAGAACCCAAAGGGGTTGTGTGTGCTTTTTTTTTTTGGGGGGGGGGCTGGGTTGTGTGTGTGTGTGTGTGTGTGTGTGTGTGAGAGAGAGAGAGAGAGAGAGAGAGAGAGAGATGGGGCCTATGCAAGTTGTAACAGAATCAAATCCACACAAATATAACATAAAATGCCCAAGCAAAAAAAAAATCAATATGACTATCAAAATGGAATCTGAAGAAACAACCAAAATATTTCGTTGTTTTTGCAAACAAATGATTGTGACTTCTCGTAAGAACTTCACTACTAAAACTGCAAGTGGGAGTGATTCTTTTTTCTTTGAACAAAACTTGGATGCTCTGAGTAACTAAATCTAGATTTTAGTTATATATACTGGTAAAAATTGTGCTAGAACTCTATTAATCATCGGAAAATAAGTCTTAAAGAAGGGAAGAGAGAGATTTACGGGTGAAGAAAGTGCTCAAAGAGCCAAGCCCGAAGAACAGACACCGATCTCTCGGGAAGGCCACGTTGGGGTCTCCATGGATGACTCTCCGTTATGCTCATTTGCTGAAAGGCTCTCTGATGCCTTAGAGTTTGATCAAGAAGTCTAAGCCTCGGTGTATCGCCTCGTGTCGCCCCGAGAGCGACGGTGTCCTTCTCCCCCATTGCGTTCTTGGTGGCTTTAATCTGATCTACAATCCCATCTCTCAGACATCTAAAATGCCTTGACATGGCCTTCGAAGCTAATGCCGAATACACTTTTGCAGCGCCATGTCCAGCCACCGCTTCAAAGGATGACACGACGGCCTTCATTTGGTCACAATAGTGCTTGAATCTTCTATCCACCTACGACCACGCACATGGGTTAAAGAGTGACGGACATAACAAATACTAAAGATTGGTTTTTGTCATTGCAATTTAAGAATTACTTGATAGAATGAATACAAGCTAGCGTCATAAAATGTAAGGAGCATGAAATAAGAACAGGAAAACATGCTTCTGAAATTTAATGAAACTACCAAATTGTCACCATGTGAGCATTAATGGAAAGGCCCTCAGTCGCTCAATTAGTTCAAGATATTTCGTTTTTCTGTCACAGACCCCAAATCAATCAACCATTTACCATCACTTTAACTGTTTACAGTTTCCTTTCTTTTATATCAAGAAAATCCCTCTTTTGGTGAGTGTTAAATTTGGAGCAACGAAAAATGTGCACAAATGAAAGAAAAAATTGATCTTTAAACGTGTAAATATACCTCTTCTAGCATTTGAAGAAGCTTTGTTTTTCTTTTCTGCAATTCTAGGAGTTCAAGGGAACACAAAGACTGCTTTTTTGAACTGCTTGCACTCTCATCCGGCCACTGATTGGTCTTGTGGTGCTTTATCTTGTGCGTATTATCATTTTGCTTTGTTCCAAGGTTACAGAACTCATTCAGCAGTTCCTGGACAGGACCCATGTACTTGGAGCTCCTCATATGAAAGTGGCCTTGATGATGAGGATTTGCAGCTTTTCCCAAAAACCCATCTTGAAACATTTGTTGCTGTTGTATGTTAATGGATTTTCCAAAGAACCCATCTCTTGAACTTGAAGGACCAAACCTGACATCGTCTTGTCTCAGTTCAAATGACTGCAACCCAATACTGGAAGGATTGCTTGAACTGAGAGACAGTGAGAGACCTTGACTTGGCCTTTCATTTCCTTCACAAGGAAACACACACCTAAAAGATTGATCATCAACAAGCAATCTATGTTCCTGATTCCAGGCTGATGAATCTGGTGTAATCATCACGTTCTCATTTGTTGCATCTGCAGTGAAATCCTGCTGATAAAAGTTACTAGTTGTTGGCTCTGTCATCGACTTTGAAGACGACGAAGCACCCTGGTGGTGGTTGCCGGACTTTCCGAAGAACCCTTTCCACACGACCGAGTTGTCAATCTGTTGCTGCAGATTCTTTGGTGGAAACCCTATCATCTCCATGCCCGTGGTCAAATGGTAGATCTCTGGGTTAGACAAGCTTTGCAACTGATTCACCAGATGGGTTTGAATATTTGGGTTATTTGAGGAAACATCTGAGTAACAATAGCCAGTGGATGAGACCATGTTCCTTGCTTTCTCTTCACCACTTGGACCTGCCATACGTAACAGAAATCTTCTTGTTCTTGTTGTGGTTCAGTGGTTGTTCGATTGTTTTTCTTGCTTTTGCCTCTAGATGTTAAAGTAGAAGACTTTAACGACTCTGCAAATACAGGTTCATCAAGATCCACCCCTTAAAAACCCACTTTTAAAAGGTTGGAAGATCATAGAGCAAAGAAAGATCAATCAGCAGAGGAGTAATCACATAAGGCATAACCCTAGTTATCTTTTTCCCTTGAATATGTGGAGAGAGAGAGAGAGAGAAGGNGGGGGGGGGGGGGGGGGGGGGGGGGGGGGGGGGGGGGGGGGGGGGGGGGGGGGGGGGGGGGGGGGGGGGGGGGGGGGGGGGGGGGGGGGGGGGGGGGGGGGGGGGGGGGGGGGGGGGGGGGGGGGGGGGGGGGGGGGGGGGGGGGGGGGGGGGGGGGGGGGGGGGGGGGGGGGGGGGGGGGGGGGGGGGGGGGGGGGGGGGGGGGGGGGGGGGGGGGGGGGGGGGGGGGGGGGGGGGGGGGGGGGGGGGGGGGGGGGGGGGGGGGGGGGGGGGGGGGGGGGGGGGGGGGGGGGGGGGGGGGGGGGGGGGGGGGGGGGGGGGGGGGGGGGGGGGGGGGGGGGGGGGGGGGGGGGGGGGGGGGGGGGGGGGGGGGGGGGGGGGGGGGGGGGGGGGGGGGGGGGGGGGGGGGGGGGGGGGGGGGGGGGGGGGGGGGGGGGGGGGGGGGGGGGGGGGGGGGGGGGGGGGGGGGGGGGGGGGGGGGGGGGGGGGGGGGGGGGGGGGGGGGGGGGGGGGGGGGGGGGGGGGGGGGGGGGGGGGGGGGGGGGGGGGGCTTACTGATTGTAGTAGAATGGATTAAGTTTGTGCATTAACGGTATCCATGTGTTGAGGTGATGGTGGACCTTCCAACTTGGTGGTGATAAAGGGAGGAGGTGGGTGAGGGGCACTGGGACTTTTTTTTGTTTTTTTTTCTCAGACTTGTTCTCTTAATAACCCAACATGACATTGTGTTCAATGAAAGCCAACCTAGGAAGGAAGATCAGACATCTCCTCAGAAACAGAAGATCAGGTAGGGGGTGATGATGACCTCAAAACCTTGTTCATCATTCTCTCTCTGTCTCTCTCTCTCTCTGGGTCAATGCAGTATGACATAAATGCATCCAAAACAATATTACTAGAAATCAAACACATCCTCAATTATTTCTTACCCCCTCAATTTTAAATAATCTAAACGACCAAAAAAATTAAAATAGTAGTCATAAAAGACAGTTTGTAACTTAAAAAATATGAAATTAAATATATAAAATGACGAGGAGATTTTGATGTGATCAGTCTTTCATGGAAGAGCATAGGTTCGAGCAAGAGATTGCTCAACTTGAGAAAGACTGGGTCAATATAAAACGTTGGAGGGTATTGTTGTACAACCGCGTGGGGGGTTTGTGCGTGGTGAATGGTGGTTTTTGAGTGCAGACCAAAGGGTAGAGAGAGAGAGAGAAATAAATAAAGGGGGAGCTGGGGGTGATTTGCGCCGCTGGATTTTTTTTTTTTTTTGAGTAATGTTACGTGAATTTAAAAGGATAGATTTAAAAAATATATTTGATAATTATAATTATTAATTTTATTATAGATTTTAGTATTTATTGGGACTCACTATTTATTCAATAGTTAAAATTATTAAATCTAATTTTTAAACACATCTAACATTATTTTTATTTTTATTTTTTAAATGAATTACATGAAGGGTAAAATTGACTTATGAATTTAATAATAACATGCTAACATTAAGGATGATTCAAATAATAACAATATAGGTTATAAAATTAAATATTTTTAATTTAAATTTTGATAATTGACATTTAAATTAGGGCATTTAAGAAAACTCTAATTCTGATATAAATAATTTATTTATAATATTAATTTAAATATTCTTAAACTAATGTTCAATTTTTTTGAATTGTGCAATCCCTTCGAACCAAAGTTGTCGTTGGTGGTACCATGCTGCTCAACAAAGTACATATACAAGGCCATTTGACAGAGGGATCATGGACCTTTGTGTGGTACACATGCTACAAGCCGCCACATGACATGTTTTCTGGGTAGGAAGAAAAAAACATGATGTAAAATGAAAATAATTGAAAATTAAGTAAAAAAAAATAAAATAATAGAAAATATATTTTTTTGCATGTATTTGGTTAGAATGAAAAAATTTTAAAATAATTTTATTCTATTGTTTGAAAGAATAGAGAGTTATAAGAAATTTTTTATAATTATTTAAATTACCCTTACTTATATTAAATCAGTCTAAAAAGAAAAAAAAATTTAATCATAATTTAAAGTTCAAATTTTTTAAAAAGTGGGTCAAAACTTAATTCTAGGAGAATCACTAACACAAATGTTTTTGGTTTATATTATATGACTAATCAAATTCATACTAATTTTTTTTTAAATTTATAATTAATAAAATATTTTTAAAAAATAAAGATAAAATAATAAGTTAATTATAGATCACAACTTTCTTGTATTTTCTTTTGTTTTTTACAAGAAAAAAAATTAGTTATTTATGAGAAAATTCAAGAATGAAAGAAAATTTTGTTTTTACCATTTTCTTTTTCATACTAACATACACATGCAAATTTTTTTAAAAAAAATTTCTTATATTTTCTATCATTCTCCCGCTAAACAAACGAATTTTGGGTATATGCCGAAATTAATTCACAATGGTTGATTTTAGTTTTAATAATTTGTAACTATTAATTAAAAATAAAAAAAAAGTAATATAATGTAGTTTAATAAAAAAAAAATTACATGAGTTGTGGGTACCATAACATTTCCCCAATGATTAATAGGCACTAATACGTGCATTAACTATCCTACATACAAGAAAAAAATCATTAAGCACATATACATGCATTTATGAGTAGTACAAGAGGTCTGTGGAGGGTACGAATACCTAAAACTGAAGTTAAACTTGAGTTGAGTACAGCTTTTTCAGATGGGTTTTACTCTGTCTGTTCTAGTGTGGGGTTGACAATTACACAGGCTAAACAGACTCTTTTCAGAGAGAGAGAGGGAGAAGACAGAAAGTGTTCCTCAAATTAGCCTCTGTGTAGGTGATGTGATGAGGTGGTCCAATGTTTCCACCGAATTCCAATTAAACCAGCTATTAAAGCATCCCCCCACACACACACTCTCTCTCTCTCTCTCTCTCTCTCTCAGAATAATCCAATCCACCAAGCACCTAATCCGATCTCCCAAACACCAGCCCTTGAAAGCACTGACTACACACCAACCGCATAGTTTCAAATCACGCGCAAAGCACGTGCGTGGGCCTAATATTCCTTTAATTTTCGTCCGTTAAAAGGCTGGTTGTGGGTCATTAAATTTCATAAAAAAAAATAGGGACATTTAAATGTGTGTTTGAAATAATTTTTTAAAAGTATTTTTATAAATACTTTAAAAAAAAAATAATATTTGAAACCATCCCATCACCATCACTACATCTACCACCACAACCGTTGCCGCTACTGCTGTCGTCACCCCCACCGCCCCTACTCCCCACCACTTCAATCGTCACTGTCGTCACCACTATCGCCACCTCCATCACTGCCATCACCTCTACTACCACTACTACTACCGTCTCCTACCATCACCACTACTGCCCACCATTTTTCACCCCCACTATAAATCGATGTTAAAACTTATTTATCTCTTCTTTATGTTTGTGATTTGATTTTAGATATGAATACAAATATATTTTTTATTTTTTATTTTTATTTTTTATTACTCTGTGCCTTCAGATAAACACAATAACGAGTTTTCAAATATGGGATAAGGTAAAAATATATCATATTATTATTTAAACTTATTCCAAAAACATAATTAAATGAGGTTAAATTAGTTTATCTTAACCAATCCAATCTTAATTCGTGAAACTTACACCATTGCCTTAGGATTTTTTTTTTTTTTTTGTTACACTGTGTTTAGGTTTATGTCGACTATTTCTTCTAGCTCAACAGTCTTAGGAGTGTTGTTTATCATGGTAGCTCTCTACCAATAAGGTGAGTATTGGACTTATTATATACCTTATTGTTTTTGGAAAATAAATTTTTATATGCAAAAAAGGGAAAAAAAAATTTGTACCATCGTCTGCTTTTAAGGGCTTCAAGTCATGGGCAAATAGAGAAGTGGGAGAGTGAAAAACTGTGGTTTTTTTTGTCAATTAGCAGTTTTACATTCTGAGCTGTTTTTGAAACTTGTAACAGTTGATTATCAGGGTAAGGTGGTCCATTGTCTCTTATGGACCATTCTAGCTAGCTGCCTACCTACATCGCTGCATGATCAGCAACAAAGCTATTTTTTTGATTGTGATAAATAGCTTGTATCTATTGTATGAAAAGCAATGTTACTGTCACCGAATTAATTGATCTTATTTTCTTGATCTAATTTTTTTTTTAGTTTAACGGTAAAAGGTGTTTGAGACGGTATATACGTACCTCGACTAATTTTCTCTTCAATCCGGTCAAAGACAGGTCATCCATGCCGGAACTAGGGTATTCATAAGAAATAAATCTCTTACGGTCTAACCCCAATAGATTATTAAGATTCAAACTCATGATGTTTGAATTTATAGCTCGTCCTTATTACAACTTGAACTATCCCTTGGTATTTTCTTGACCTAATTTTTTTTTTTTGATACTTAAAAAAAAAGGTGGGGGTAAAGAAGAGCGTCCAACAACCACCCCGATAGGGCCTCACCGGTTGAATACTATAGCTATTAAATTAATCTTGAGTTCCATCAAACATTAAAAGTTAGTGTTAATTTAATAAATCTCCGCATTATATCAACATATTAGCTCATATTTTTAAGTTCCGATAACATTACTCCCGTATCAATGAATGTTTTCCAAGTCTACAAATGGAGTGGTTTAATTATTATTGTGGGGATGGCACATTGGCTGATTTTTCCCCCTTCTTAGTAATGAATGATTGCTTCAATTATGCATCTTCTAGATTTGTTGTTACAATATAAATTTTGGATGCATACGGTTACTATTACATTATATGAGCATTTGAATAAATTAGAAAACGAGTTTGACTTGACACCATCAATTAATAATCCTTGAATACTTTTCATCCGATCTATTCCTATGGATTCATTTTGCAAGGGTGGATTTTAACGATTGTTCATTTCTCTTTTACTATACTATGTCACCTAGTTTGACCTTAAACCCCACAAAATTTACCTAAATGGACAATGA